ACCAGCCCTGACCCCAACCCTGTGTCCCGTCCTGCGTCCTGCTCTCCCACCCGTGACACTGTCAGCCCAGCCCTCCCTACCGGCGAGAGTCCTGAGTGGATACAGGAGCAGGGGGCACTTCTGGGGCCTGATGGCTGAAGGGGACACCCGCATCCACCGGGCCTGGAAAAGTTGTGTGTTGTGCACTTAGTAAAATCCTCCCACTGCCTCCCGGTTCTGTGTTGTGGTCTGCCTTTTGCGCTTTCTTCCCTGACGCACAGACCCTCCAGAGATGGGACAGTGCAGCCTGGATGGGCTGAAATCTGGAGACCCAGTGTCCCCGGCTTCCTTCCAGGGTTCTGGAGCCCCACCAGCCAGGCTTCCCAGCGTCCCCCACAAGTCTCACACTAGTCCACCTCACTGGTCACCACGCTCTGCTCCCCTCACCCACCTCTTGCCCTTCAAAGCCCACACGATAAGTAAGCAATCGACGACATGAGAATGCGTCCAACAAACATCTGGTTGCTGGGGTCTCAGCAGGGAGCAAGATAAGTATGGCCTTCACCCTCACGGAGCTCAGATATCAAATTCAAAATTTGATATGGTGCATTCGGGTATGGTACATTCTAGAAGCATAACAAGACTCGATTTAGATGGGGGTACAGCTTTCTCGATTAAGGATTTTATAATCCTAACAACCACTCATCTAATAATCAGTGCTGTTTGCCCAGCCTTGGGTAATGCTCTTTTTTGTATCCTCTCATGTAATACTCTCAAAAGCCCCATGCAGCAGGTAACTGATTGAGTGGTCCCATTGTACAGATGAGGAAACAGACACATAGCATTTAAGAGACTTCAGAAGATGTAGAAGTGGCCTTTGGTAGAGCCTAGATTTAAACTCAAATTGCCCTAAGTTCTTAGTGTCTACGCTCTTAACCATTATATTCCAGGGTGATGTTCAAAGTCTCTGGGGCCATATTGAAATGAGTTTCAAGAGAGGTGGGGCCCAAACCAGAGGGTTCTGGTAGGTGGATGTGGGTTATTTTGTTGCCATTTCAGAGCTATGGGAGGCCAACGGCAGGTTCGGGCAGAGGGCTGACAAGAATTATTCTTTGAAGATGCTTCTGGCCGCTGGGTGGAGAGTGGAGTGGAGGGGGGTGCAGGAGGAGTGGAGGGGATCACTGAAAAGATCCAGGCGGGGAATGTTAGAAGACTCTGGTCTGGGGGTCACAGAGGAGGGGATAAGTGGTTCTATTTGGTACACCATTAGAAAGTAGGGTTTGCTGATGGACCAAATGAGAGGGGCAAAAAGGGGTTTCTGGGAGAAAAGAGGAAGAAAACCTTGAGATGGCACACAGGCAGCCGGACGCGGTAGCTCAAGTCTGTAATCCCAGCCCTTCGGGGAGGCTGAGGTGAGAGGATTGCCTGAGCCCGCGGGTTCGAGATCAGCCCGCTCGCACAACATGGCAAGACCTCGTCTCTGCAATAAATTAAAAAAATTAACTGGGCATGGTGGCGCGGGCCTGTAGTTCCAGTTACTTGGAGGGCTGACGCGGAAGGAGCGCCGGAGCCCAGCAGGTCGAGGCTGCGGTGGCCTTGAGTGTGGCACTGCCCTCCAGCCTGGGCGACAGAGTGAGACTCTGACCCCCCCCCCCAAAAAAAAAGCTGGGCTCGTTGGCTCAGCCTGTAATCCCAGCACTTTGGGAGGCCGAGGAGAATGGATTGCCTGAGCCTAGGGGTTCGAGACCAGCCCGGGCAACTTGGCAACACTTTGTCTCTAATACATCAAAAATTAGCCGGGCGTGGTAGTGCGCGCCTGTAGTTCCGGCTACTTGGAAGGCTGACGTGGAAAGATCGCCAGAACCCAGCAGATCGACTCTGGGGTGGCCGTGAGTGTGCCACGGCACTCCAGCCTGGGAGACAGAGAGAGATTCCACCTTAAAAAAAAAAAATAGTACACAGGGTCACTGCCATACACCGCGAAGGGTGAGGGGTCGAGCTCCGGACATAGAAGTCACGAGGCTGGCACTGGACTCTGGGCATGACAGGGAGCCGGGGCGGAGCTCGTGGCTGCCAAACTCAGAGCTAGCCCATCCCCCAGACACAGCCGGGTTCGGCGCTGGGACCTCGCGACCGCCTTCGACACCGAGGGCGCCGACCGAGGCACGCATGCG